CCGCCCTTAGCCAGGCCGGGGCCGGCCGCCTCACCGCCACGTGCCCCGAGCGCCGGGCTCACGCGGGGGCGGCGCGGAGCCTCCAGCGCCTGCGGGCCGCGGGTAACGTCCCCGTGGGAGGGGGCAGCTGTGCCCCCCGCGACCCCCGGGGCAGGGAGGTTGAGTCTCGGCAGTAACCAGCGAGGGCAGAAGCGAGAGAAGCACGAGGGCTCTGTGCTCCTGACGCCGGTTGAGGGCGGGTCGCGGCAGGAAGACGGTGCGGGGGGGCACCAGCGCTCTTGGGGGGCACCGCCACGGGGGTCCGTCCTTTGGAGTCACTGCTCTCCTCTTGCTCTGATCCTTGCAGGCGCTGAAGTTTGCTTTGGCGTGGACTGCACCAAACTGAAGGAGTTCTTTTCACCGGCGGAGAGACGGTTCGACCGTATTTATTTCAACTTCCCCCACTGCGGGAAGAAGTCGGGGGTGAGAAAGAACAGGGAGCTCCTCGCCAAATTTTTCTGTAGGTGGGTAAGGTGGAGTCGAGCTGCGCTGTAGAAACTTCCCGCCGGTTCCTTAAGGAAGCGCTGAATGCTGCAGGGCGTTTTAAAAAGTGCGTAGCTGATAAGCTATGAAAAAGTGTAGAGGTTTTCAGTGACTTCAAAACCCCCCCGTCTGCCCGTTGCTCCCCCTGTTCAATTGCTGTGTGCTTTAGGAGGGGCGCACCTCGGCCGAAGCTGATTTTTAAAGAGGCATATCGGCCAATACCAGCCCGGCCGTGTGGAGAGCAGAGCGGGCTGTGTGTGTAAATACGCGCGCACAGAAGAGATTTCCGATACGGATCATTTTCTTTATGTTGGTGCTGATGTGATGTGGGACCGATGTATCCGCTCTGCTTTAGGGGCATTCCTATGACCTGGGTCTCGTTCTAGCTGTGCAGAAGTGCTCGCAGAGAAGGGGGAGGTTCATGTGGCGCTTTGCAGAGGACAAGGCGGGACACCTGCTGACCAGCCAATGAGAGAATGGCACAACAGCTGGCAGGTGGTAGCCATGGGAGCAGGAGCGGGATTTATCCTGAGTGATGTTCATCCCTTTGAGGCGAAGCATATTCCTGGATATGAATGCACAGGCTACAGGTAACCTACGGATCCTGCCGAAACCTGTCACCCATGTGCTTACTGTGTCTCGGTCCCTTTCACGATGTCTGGCATCCACAGTGGTGGTTTCCAATGTTGCATTTTTACCTGGGGCAGAGTGCTGATATTCTACAGCGTGTACATTACTGGGCTGACTGTTGCATTGGTTCAGCAGTCGTGTGATGTTACCTGTTTTTGTATGCTTAATATTAGCCAGAAGTACCATTACTTTTTCAGCTGTCATTTTTGTTTGTGTTGCCAGGAGTCAAGACAAGTCTTTTTGCGTAGAAGGTGCCTTGAAACACACTTTTACCCGGAGTTTGCCATTTCCACACCCCGGCCCTTTGATCTGTCAAACTAATCTGGACAACAAATGCATTTCTTTCCGGGTTCCTGAAATATTTATAGATAAAATCAACAGGTGAGTGTTTGAGTCCAGTCTCGGTTTAGTTGTCTGGTATCAGAATGGCCCATAAAAGCAAACAAGGAACAAATACCCTACTAACAATCTAGTCTTGCACAAATGATCAGTTGGTCTCTCTGAGACAGGTACTCACTAAATACTCCAAATGCTGTCCCCTCTTGGAGGGGAAAGGGGATGACGGATTTGATTATTTCATTTATTTTTAAGTGTTTCTTCCATGTTCGTGGTTCACCTAGGGTAAGAGAGGGTAACTCATTTGTGAAGACTGAGGTGCAGCTAGACTGTTCTGACGTACTGAAGTAGAAGATTGAACTACTAACACCTCGTATAGTGATTTGGGAGCAGCCCTGGAGCTGGCTTAGTGTGCTAATGCTACAGTCCTAAGGCAAGTTATGATTAAAAACGGTAACCAGTCTCTGAACAGCTGTATATACTGGAGCTTGTCCAGTGCTAGCACTGTTTCTTTGGCCTCCTTAAATAACTTGGTAATGCAAACACAATGAATGGAAATCAGAAGATGCATGCTAGTAAATGCCTCCCTTTGCCACCAGCCAAGATGCAGCTAAACCCTGGTTGCACTCTTAACACACCTCTTCTTTCTTGAAATTGAAAGGAAGCTGCATACCAAGGATCACTGTGGAGAAGGGGCTCATCACACTAGTCTTAAATGATAGTTGGAGGAAAATATTTTTAACTGTAGTGAGTTTTATAATCTGTTGTTTTGTTTCACAGGGGCTTCCTTGATATAAATTCAGGTCATCCTGTCAGAACAATAAATGAGAAGCTCATCACAGAGCTCAGCCAGACCTTCCCGCTGCAGAGGGTTGACTGTTCCCTACCTCTGTTGCACCGAGGCCACCCTGCCTCTTTTTCTCATTCAGACATCTTTTGGGTTGCTCCTGACGCAGAACAAAATCCAAGCTCTGACCCAACAGGCAGTGGAGCAGCAAGAACTCTCTCATTTTCTGGCCTTAATTTCTCCAAGGATACAGACCAGAATGCGTGTGTAAAGGTTCCTCAGGAAGGAGACCAGATCTCGCAGCATTATTATCTTAGACCTTCCCTTCTGGCTGCTGTTCAGCCAGTTGCACGGAGCCTGGGATTTCTTCCTGGCACTGTGTATGTTCTCAATGGGCTGGTCTTTAGGAAGTGTCTGATCTCTCCACACACACTGCCAGTTTTTCATGAGACTGTCTTTATATGCACAGTTAATAAGGGCTCAGAGGGTCACTATATCCAAGTGCTTATGGATAGCATTAAAAACTCCCTGTGTTCTCTGCTCCAGTCTGATGCACACATTACACTGAATTTGTCAGAGATGGAAGTAGGAACCTATGAAACAACAGAGCTGAATGACTTTGTCACTTTCGAGCCTCAGCACAATAAAAATCAATATTTGATCTGTGTAAAAACTGCATCCTACCCCAGTGCCAAGGGCTCTCGTGTAGGAACCATAGCAGCAGCTCCCAGTGGGTTAGTAAACAGCGATCTGGGCGCTGTGTTTGCATCCGTGAATCTTGACCTCGTGGCCATGC